TTCTCCGGCGTAGTGTGGATGGTGCCTAAGAATGATTTCGTTTTGATCTCTTTAACCCGAGACCGGCATGGTTGATATTACTCAATGATTTCCTGGAATAACTTGAGCAAGTAATTCTCGTATTTGTCCCTATTTCGTTTTTTTTTCAAATGGACTCTTGCAACATGTCCTCGAATAAGAATTATAATCATGCTTTACTTATTTCACTAGTGTTACGCTTTTTTCACAAGTGTGAACATGCTTTTCTCATCAGTGTTGAGCTTATTTCAAAAGTGTGAACCAGGCTTGACTAGTGAGCCGACTTTCTTCGATTTTATCTTGTTGTTGACTTTCAAAACACTGCTTGCTAACCGTTAGCTTTAAGTTTTTCTACATCGTTTTGTTGCTTGTGGTTAACTTTATTTTGTCCAAATGAATTGTGTCATTTTTGTATTGCTCTTTGGTGTTGTTTTATTTAATTTTTAAAACGATGATGAAAATTTAGAAAGAAAACTATTTTGGATTTGTGTAAACTCGTTCGAAGGAATGTACGTAAATTTTTTATGCGCAAGCGTCTCTTGATGCGAACTGCGCAAGTCGTTATATGAGCATAAATTTCTAGATCGTAGTGGTTCCAATCTGGTCATTATAAAAGAACGCTGGGAAGATCTCAGGGCTAGACTTGTTGAGAGTTTTTAACATCTTTGTAATCGTAAAGATCTAAGAGAGTAGAGTGGAGTTGAAAGCTGATTAAAGTAGTTGAAACCTCTCAAGATCCGAACTGATATTCAATTTTGTAAAGAGAAACAGAGTTAATCCTTAGCAAAGTTTTTCTTTCACAACATTTCTGTTTTTTACTTTTTTCAATTGCTACATCTTTTCTGTTTTAATCTCTATTGGCATATCTGTTCCTCTTTAAGGTTTGCTAAGTTCAAGTTCACCAAACAATCGGGGAGGGGGAGGGTATATAGGTATGTGTGGCCCCAAAGGGTAGGGTTTTAGTAAGTAAGTAAGTAAGTAGCAACTTTATTTACAGAGGGTAACACATAACAGTAAAAAACTGACGAACCAGTGGCCCTCTATCCTAAGTTAAAAATTAAAAACTATTTACGCTTATAAGGTAATAAAAATTACAGTTTTTTTTTTCAGCCGTTTTTATCATAAATAGGGTATGGTTTTAGCACTGTAGCCTTGAATTGGGTAAGTTTCTTAGAAGAAGATTTTTTCATCATTATCAATAAGACCGTCGACAAACGCTCTTCGTAACTTATGGTTAGGGTAACTGTGCCAGCAGATTTTGGCCATAAATAGGGCAAGCGTTTTGGGAAGTAGGCCGCACACCCCCACCCAACTTTTCTGGGAGTGGTCCCCCGGGACCCAGCAGCATCGAGTTAAAAAGTGAGTGTTGCTGTTCAGTGTTAAATGACTGAGAACACTCTCCACCTCCTTCACAAAGTCAGTGTTAACGGAGCTAACAAATTCAGCTGAGTTTTCAATGTATTTATTTTGTTATCGCTGCAATCCTACTGACAAAGGCACCGTTCATGAACAATACGGGGCTACCTTGATTGCCCTTTCTTTTTTTAGTACACTCGAACCTCTACAATGTATGTCGACTCCAATGGAGAAGTTCCCGAAGAAGTGCTGAGTCTCCGTTTTAGGGAGGAGTCGGTATCATAGATGTAAAGATAAATGAATTTAGTTTTCTCTGACACTATGTGAACTGTCCGTATTAAATTTAGGTGGTTTGCAACCATTTCCGAGAGATCCAAGTGACAATGAACTTGGTGGCTATGTTGGATGATAGGAAAAATAAGGCTAACAAGAATTCTTTTGAGAACGGTAATTCAAGATGGCGGCGATGACTGTTGCGTTTTTCGTATTATGCTGATGTCCATAACTGAGAGGTTCGAATGTATTATGATTTAGAATAATTTGCGGAATAATAATGTTACAACCTTAGTTTTGATATATAGTGTGATGTGAGGATTATATTTCATATATTGTTCATAACTATGATGTGAGGATTAAGTAAATGTCTAAGGTTTCTCACGGCAGTTTCTAGCAGCATGCTACAGTAACAAATTAAAGTTCTCATGGGCGCCAGGGTGGCTTAACTGGTTCATCGGTCACCAGGCCGGCCAGCTTCTTGTTGTATGCGTTGACTTTATCATTCATTTTCGATATACAAGTCGGGGAGAATGGCTCCCCCAAAACTGCGGCGTTGCACCCGAATTGCTGCAAAAACTGCTCCACGTTTGACTTGTGTGTGGGAATCGCCGTCTTTCCTTGCTTTTTGTAATCGAGCCACATTTTCATGGCGAATTCAGGGTCGCGGAATTTTTCGCCAAAGTGCACCAATCCAGGTCTAACATTAGGAGGAAGGCGTTCCCGGATCAATCTCATCGCGTTAAACATCCTCCACATGTACTTGGTCATCTTAAGGAAGCATTCCTCCAGAGGGATTCCCCCGCAGTGGTTGTACTCTTTGTTTGCCTCTCCCCAGTTTTCAATCATGGACACCCACAGGTCGCTAGTTGTTAGTGCTGTCTTCAAGCTCACAATCTTCATCTGTGTGACTCCCACTACGTGACGTATGGCGCCTCGGGTATGGTAGGCCTCTGCTGCATAGATCAGGGCCTTTGCGAGATCACCTATGGACGTCAAAGTAACATGTTTAGTTGGCTTTTAGATGCTGCCTCGGCAAACCAGATTATTCATTATACACATCGAGGGCAGCAGTCGTTAGTCCCTCTAATGGACTGTACTGGGAGGCTACCCCCGAAAGGGATCCTTTTCCAGACTGGAGGTACATGAAAGGGTAGGGTTTTCACGATCTGAACTATAGAAAAAAATAATAAAATCTTTCATATAGGTGTCAAAAGGGCCTTTCAAAATACCACGTGCAGTTATATTGCTGTCGAAGAGGTCTGGCACTAACCACTAGGGGATATTTTTAGGGTAGGAATTTTCCAGTGGACCTTTTTTGGGAAAAAAGATTTTTTGCAAGAATTTTTTAGGGTCGGTGAGAGGTATGTAAAAGGGTTATCATTTTCGTCGGAGAGTATGCGAAAGGATAACCTTTTCTGTCAAAACGTGTTATATAAAATGGTACGGATTGGACCACGGCGCAGAACCTTCAAGTATAACACTTTGTTAATTGAGTAGCTCTCCCAGGGGGAAAGGGGAAGCAATTGTAAACGATCACCTTCGACTCTTAGGTTCCTAGTTGGATTTGATTAAAGCTTGATTCCATATATTTATATATGTCTTAAAAGGCATTTGTCATATTGAAAACAAGTGAAGAGGACTTTAGTTCTCAGTTAAGGTTACAGTATACCTTCAAGGGTTCTCGCGTGCAAGCGATGTAGCGCGTGCAGTTTAAGATGTAGATACCTAAACCCCTATATCAAATTAAAGCTTATAGCTGGCTATCAAATTATACCAAGAATTTTGAAATAAAACGAATTGTCGAATTTTTCACGACCACTAAATGCGAGGGCCCGAATCACCTTTCGAAAGCTACAAGTCAAAGCGAATTTCGTTTTTCGCCAATTTAATGTTTTCCTCTGTTTCAAAGCCCAAAGCGCTTAAAAAAAGATGTCTGCGTTTTGGCATATTCAATTGCTGTAAAAAGTTACAGAACATTTTCGAAATAGGATTAAAAAAATGTGAAGTGATGGTACAAAAATCGCTCTCGAAGAAAAAGTATTTCGAAATTAATAATTCGCAGACACGTTTATGAAGTTTATAAGCTAAACTATCTACTGTCCAAATTTCAGGGCAATTGAACAAATTCCCTTTGAGTTATAACTCTTTAAAGTGTCTGCTTCAAGCGAAAAAATTTATTCGAGAAAACAGCACTGAGAAAAATCTTCTGCTTCGCAAACAAACTCCGCCCACGAATGCCTTCAACTGAGTTCTCAGGGCCAATCAGTGTAGGGACAGTTTACTACCGTTAACCTCCTGCTGAAATTTCCGCACGAATCTCCAAAAAACCCTTGTGTTTCGCAATGCGCTCAAGGCGCCGAAGGCGGAGAGATAATTTTTCNTCTCCGCCAATATTTAGCCTTTTTCAATTTTTTTTTTCAGAAATTAGAGATTATTCTTCGACCACTACTTCGACCCAAAAATCCAAATTTGAAGAAAATTGCCGACCCGAAGGTATACTGTAACCTTAACCGAGCCTTAGTTCCATGTCAAGATGAGGTAAGTGATTCTTTGCGGAGTACAAAGAATTATTTAATCTTTGTAACGTTTTTTAACAAAACTCCATCTTTCTTGATATTTATCTCAGTTGCTCAACGTACATTCTTATAGGAAGAAAATTGTCTTTTTGTAATTACCCAGAAGTTTTGGATCATATCCGGCAACTGACATCGCTTTTACGAGTTTCTGATATTCATTATTATGGGCTGTTCTGAACGCTTTGGGAGAACTCAATGCGCCTTCAGGTCTCATTGGTACTTTGGCATCCATTGCTTTGAAGGTTTTCAGCCAAACGTCTAGCTGGGTCTTGGATTTGGCAGCTGTCATTGCTGTCTCAGCTACTTTTACCAGCGCGTGAAAGAAAATTTCGTTGTACTTGAAAACTTTGTAGTACGCACTGGCCAATTCTTGCATTTTGAAATTTATCGTCTGCTCGTTTTTCTCTACACCAGCAGCAAAGGTACCCGGAAGCTTGACAAACAAAAATGGCATGGCGTATTCAAGGGTGAAAGCGTAGACATTGGTGTCAAACACGAGCTCTGACGGTTTGCCAAATCCCTGAGCACCTTGAAAATACGCGTTGAACTTTTCGGTAAGAACGCCAGCATCTTTTCCAACCAGCCCCACGTCGTAGTCGGAGGTACAAGTGGCGCTCCCATAAGGTGCAGGATAGCACACGCCAGAATCAGGGATCGTTATTTTTTTGTCAGCCGTACTTACACAAGGTTGTAACTTGTTACCGCTTTGTACGTAAAGAATGTGTGTCACGAACAGGTATCTTGCAGCTGTGATGTAGAGAAGGTTGAGACAGCTCTGCGCTGTGCGGAATTCACGATTATTTTTTGTGGTGTCCCAATCGTTGTTGCGGACAAAGAACTTCTTTACTCGATCTGCAGCAGCGACGAACGTAGGGGTTCCGAGAAGTCCTTTGAAATCGGGTTGCTTGGTCCATATGTCTCTCGTGGGATCTTTCACAAATTTGTATTTGTCCACAATGTCAGTTTTCATCCAGGCAAGGTCTTGTTGATTTGCGGCGTCACTCAGAGGCAAATTTAAAGCTGGAATACTTGGAAGAAAGAGAGATATATACTATTGTGAATCTATTTTTTTATTATTTTTATGTATTCGTTTAGTGTATAATAAGTTCTTGGGGACTTGGTATTGCATTTGGTCATTTATTTGAGGAGCTTTTTTTCAAAACTCAGAGCATAAGATGTTTACTCAATAACAGTTACAGAAATGCGTTATTAAAAAGAGATTAGTAGTCCTTCTCAAATGTTTATAGGCAAATGGAAGCCATTTCTGGTTAACTTCGGTCACATATCACGAGCCGTATACTAATTTTATAGGTCTGAAATGGGGTATCGACTTTTTACTCAGATTTGAAATAAGGTATGGAAAATCACAGATTTTGGTCTGGAAGAGGGTACAGGTTTCAAGATTCGGGCCGCACAACCCCACCAAAAACGTTTAGAGTACCTCCCGGGGGTCAAATATCGCTTGGTAGATCGAGTGATTAGTTGTGGTCACATGACCAGACGTGATCATTTGACAACAGTACAGCGTTATACACCGACTGTAGCTCCAAGTCCTCATCCCTGGTCTGTAATGGCCGCTGTAATTTTTATCTCAACAGCCCCATTGACCTTTTTTAGACGCATGGTCTTAACCCACGGATGATCCTCACCGTCAGTAATGATCGAGTTAACCGTCTCAAGTACATAATCCTACATGCTGGCAGTTTTGACATTTGGCATGAAAGATGACTACACCCCAAAGTAGGGGGGTGGGGGTACTCTGATATAAAAAAGACGGGGATGCTCGTGGTACTTTTCAGGGGTTAAAAAAGTGGCTCAATGTCTGCCGCCTCACAACGTCCCTAGCGGGAGCTTTTACGGTACCGTTTAGGGTGTTGATTGCCCCTCCCTCCCCCCCCCCCGCCCCCCAAAAAGAAAAATGTGACAAGATATAACGTGCTGTTTTAGAATCGGTACCTCTTAGGGGTGAAAAATGTTCAAGCCACGCCCACAGAACAGAATCTTGGTACCTCTTAGGGGGTTCCTTTCAAAATTTTCGACGAGCACCTTCGTCCTATTTATATGGGAGACCCCCCCCTCTAGGGACTACACATCTTTGTCTGTTGTAAACGCCATGACTGCTGCTGTGGACTGTTCCGTGGCTTATGGTATATATTGAGAGATGAATTAACGATGCCTAACGATAAACGGGATTGATGGGCTGGAACTACCAGTGGCGTATAACGCTTATTTTCGAAAATTTAAGGTGGTTGTGGATCCCCTGAACATAATTTTTTCGAACTTTTCAAAAATGTTTCATCTTATTATGCTTTTCACAATTCAGTGATACAAAATAGGGGTCACCGAGCTCGTTTTTGGGTTATTAGCACTGAAAACTACAATTAAGGGTGTTTCTAACAGGTTGTACTGTTGGTATGGTATCCTATTATATGGAAGTGATGGCAATAACTTGTTTACTAACGATTGGGCATTTGTGTGAAACCATTGTTGTAGGATCATATTACAAAGTGTGTTAGTATTGATCCATCAAAGTATTAGTGATGGAAAGAGCTGGAAACTATTGTTAGCCACCTTAAATTGATACAATAAGCCATTTCCGTGTCACCTTGTGTCTCTGTTTCAAAACGAGTCTTAATGCAAAACCTTTCATATGAATTGAAAAGAAGTTTGATTTGCATAAAAATGAACCTGTAGGTGGAACACATTTTCATATGAATGGTTTCGCACGAAGACTTGGTCTGACAGAGGCAAAAGGCAACTCGGAGTGATCTATTGCCGTCGGCGGTAACTGCTATCGGTAAACCAATCAAAGCAGAAGCATCTTGTAATATCGTTATTTATGAGAATGTAAATGTTGATACATACGCGGCATCATTTGCTTTCTGCTGTAAAGGTTCAATGTAGTCATCTGTGGACCATGCAGGCTCTTTCTGGGCAATGTCGATGACCACCGATATTGGATAGAGCTCGTCGCACACCTAACGTGGAAGACAGACAACAAACGGTTAAGAAGTCATCATCTACATTCTTTTAATTTTCTGTGATAGTTTAGGTTGAAGACACACAGACGCACTAAAAGGAAAGAAGAGAAATCATCGTGCAAGCTTCAGAGATCAAGTCACACTGAGTAAACTAACACTAGGTATAGGTCATCGTATAAATGCGAGTGCAATTAAAGATTTACACTACGAGTGGTATTTGAAAATTCTCTCAAAATTGCAGGAGCCCTCAGGCGACTGCAATTTGAAAGAATCCCAAATATCACGAGTAGTGTAAATCCTTGATTGCTCGAGCTTTCATACGATTACTCATTCTATGACTGAGAAAATTGCGAACGCGTGCGTGTTAATTTGCACTGCAGTACAAATTAAAAATTAACGATAAATTGGCCTGCTCTCAGCCAATCACAATGAATTAATATTCTCAGTCATATAATAAGGCGGGTTACTTGATGTGAGTTATGAGTCATGTAATATACACGGATATGAAAAATACCAAATTTTAAAATGTTCACAGAAGGACTTAAGGGGGTAGGATACCTTAAAATATGGCGATGTTCATGAAAAATTCAATTCCTTGGAAATACCAGGCTTAAGACCCTTGCCATCACAGGCTCATTCATTTCCCTTATGAAAAGGAATATTTCCCACAACTGCGGTAACTTTTTACAAAATAGA